AAGAATTCTACTAGCTTCACCCAACTCCTTCCTTTGGAAATGTTTGAACAGTTGATTCTTCATTTTATCTATCTCAATTTGACTATCACATGCAATCAACATATCATCAACATATAGAAGCAACTAAATGAACTCACCGTTGACAAACTTCTTGAAATATACACAATGAACATATTGGCTCCTCGTATACTTCTGTCCCCTCATGAACTGATCAAATTATTTATAACATTGTCACGGTGACTGTTTCAACCCATACAAAGACTTGTATAATTTGCAAAGCAAGTCCTTTGAAGCTCCACATCCAGGCAGCTACAACATAGATCTCCTCTTGCAATTCTCCGTGTGGGAATGCAATCTTCACATTGAGTTATTTCAATATTAGACCGTACCATGCAACAAGTGATAAGAGAACACAAAATGAAGGATGCTTGAGCACTAGAGAGAACACATCATCATAATCAATGCCTTCTCATTTCACAAAGCCTTTTGCTACTAATCTTGTCTTGTACTGCACATCAACTCCATGAGATCCTCCTTTGCATACACCTTCTCGCACCAAATGACATTCTTCCTTAGAGGCTCTAAGTACCATTCTTGTGAACTGACTCCATCTTTTCATCTATTGTTGCACTCTAAGGATTACAGTCTGGGCTCTCCACAACTTTTTTGTAGTGAAAAGAAACTTTTGCCTCTGTATCTAATAGTACAAATCTAATGTGATCCATCAATCAAGCTAGTTATGGGACATTAGGGCGCCTGATCATGCTCCTAGCAATTGATTCCTGAGTAGATATCTCATCCTCAACATTTTTTTCCACCTCCTTCTAAGTTTTATCAACAAAAACCTCCCGAGTTGAAACTGAATCAGATATCTGTTTGGAGTTGACGAACATTGTGGAATAAATGGAGTTGTGTGAAACTCTAACTTCTGTTGCATATCTGTGGTCCCAATAGAACTTTCCATCTTCTTTGAGTCGGAATTTTTCAAAAAGCTTGCCTTGTTGATTGTAACATTCTTGCGAGTGACAACCTTCCTTTGTGACTAATCATACAGCTTGAAGTCATTTAGTTCACGCCTGAAGCCAATGTAGATCATCGTCTTTGCTTGTGGTTCCAATTTATCATTACGCACGTGGTAGTAGGCTGGGCACCCAAACACTCTCATGTGCTCATAATCTCTAGCAGGACTCTTTGACAACATCTCCATTGGGGTCTTCTTCCCCATAATTATAGAAGGCAGAAGATTCACCAAGTGACAGACATACTCTACGACTTTGGCCGAAAAAACTCTATCTAACCTAGCATTGGATAACATACACCAGTTAAGTGGTGATATATCCCAGCTCTCTGGTACTCTTGCTAGAAAAGAGAAAGTATCTTCACTTTTGTGATTCATGGTGTACACCCCAACATAGGAGTAATCATAAAAAAAGAGATAAAGTATCTTCGCCCGTTGAATAATGTTGTCTTCTTTTGGCTCTAAACATCTATGTGACCATACTCTAAAATATCTTTTGTACAGTGGATGATAGTCTTAAAAGATACCAATGTATTCTTGTCAAACATATAATGTTCACAGAAATCATGCTTGTAGGTGCTTGCTCCTTTGAATAATCCCTTCTTCACTAAAGCATGAAGTGCAATCTTTCCAACATGAGCTAGTCGCATATGCAACAACATAGCGGCATCATAAGAATTATCAACAATATCAGTCGTTCTAGTCATTATAATATCCTGAAGATATTAAAGATTGTGATGACAAACTCCCTTCATAAAAATCATTGCACCATGACATATCCTCATAACTCATGTCTTAATAACATTAGTCAGCTTTCTCACAGTTTTGTCATGCATCTTGATAAAGATACTCTCCACACTAATAATATGATAAGTTTGATCGTTTCTCATAGTCATTGCACCACTATCCAGCTCTTTGTATGTACAAAACCAGCCTCGATGAAAACAAATGTAATTGGTAACATCTGTGTCCAGAATCTAACACGAATCATCTATAAATAAATTGTGAGATACTATAAAAAATAATACATCTAAATATGCATCTTCACATCTTTCCACACTAATATTGACTTTCGTCATAGATGCAATTTTCTTTCCCTTCTCCTTAAGTTTCAAACAATTTTTCTTCCAATGACCATTCTCTGAACAGAAACCACACTGATTTTTCCCAAGGCTGTGCCTCGCTTTTGAGAAGCTTTTCCGCCGCAGCCTTTCTTTGCCAAATGCTTCTTCTTATCAGACATGTCACGTTGGAGTGTAAATGCTTCAGTTGATTTCATCTTTGTGGACTCCTTGTCTCTTCAACGAAACTCATTATTCAACAGTGTCGTAATCACTTCGCCATAATTCAAGACCTCCTTCCCATAAATGACCGTCATAATAAAATTTTTGTACTCATCTAGGAGTGAATTCAATAGAAGGAGTGTCATATCTTCTTCTCTAATGTCCTCATCCAAATTTAAAAATTTGCTAATAGTTTTGTGAAGTCACTCAAGTGCTCATCAATAGTAATCTTGTCTTATATAAAATCTGTAGAGCCAATGCTTCATATGGAGACGGTTCTCCACACTCTTCATGAGACATCTGTCCTCCAGTATCCTCCACAATTTCTCTACAGATGTTTTCATCATCACCCTATATTTGATATTCTGGGTCAAAGGTTGAATTCAAACTTAACCATGGAATTCAAAGGTTTGACGGTATTACAAACATGCCACTAAGTGGTTATTTGTTTCCTATTAGAGCTGTAAACGTGCTGTGCTGGACCGAGCTCTCACTTGGCTCGTGTTCGTCTTGTTAGAACTTAATTAATTTTAAAATTGGCTCGTGTTCAAAACTCATTGTGAACAATGTGTTCGTGTTCGGGTTGAACTTGTCTCATTTAAATTAATTAGAAAAATGATTTTAGGGCATTGGATTCGAAGTTGCACCATTCCTATGGAATGGAATGCTCGGAACCATATGATATGTATGTATGTATATATGTATGTATGTAGATATGTATGTATGTAGATATATATGTATGTATGTATATATGTATGTATGTAGATACATAGTGTATGTAGATATATATGTATGTATGTAGATATGTATGTATGTAGATATATATGTATGTATGTATATATGTATGTATGTAGATATATTATGTATGATACATACATACATACATACATACATATATATACATTTATATCTACTTACATACATACATACATATACATATATACATACATACATACATACATACATAACAAAAAATTTAAGCACAAACTACTTAAGAAGCCGAACAAGAGCTATTTGCAAACAACGAGTTTTTTTTACAGCCAAATTCATGATAGGATGAAGTTTTCAAATACTTCCTAATGAAGTTGTTTGGCTTCTTCAAAGAAATTTGTTTAATTTTTTTATTTGTTATTCTTATCTTTCAGATATAAGTTTGTAAAATTATCTCATTGTCAATACTTTTAATTTTGTGTGAACTGCAATTCTTCGTTTATCTCTTTTTTATATTATTTCATATATGTATGGTACTGGACATAGGTTTACTAGGCCGGATCATATAAACTTTGATATTGATTATTTCATATATGTATGGTACTGGACATAGGTTTACTAGACCGGATCATATAAACTTTGATTTTCTACTTTGCCATGCATGATTTCTTTTAGGGAAATTTACATACCTACCAAGCAACTTTTATGCATTTACATATATAGCACCTAAAGTCGGATATTTTATAAATGTTGGTGTTAAAAATTTATGCATGAAAAAATATAATTCACTTTTAAAAAGTTAATGGCAGTGCTAATTTTGATATGAAGTCAAAAGTTCGGTTGTTATGCACGTAAACAAGAAAGATATATATGTAAAATATAAGAATTTCGTGGCATGCATGTAAATGCCCTTCTTTTATTGTTGCTTTGGTGCATCATATATAGCCCTGAGTTATGGTGCCATTATATTATAATTATATCTTGAGCATGAATGTTTCTTAATCACTAGATTGAGTTATGAGGCCACAAGCACACTCGATTAGGCATGAATAAGGATGTCAATTCGGGTAAAGTCACATGATGTCAACTTAACCCGAACCCAACTCATTTTTGATATGGGTCAAATATTTAGCATGAATTACTTAAGCCAACCCCAACCCATGTAACCGATCATTATGTGAACATACAGTTTTTTAGATCGAAACATACATGAATCATTTAACAATAATAATATGATTGTTATTTAAACACATAATAGAGAAAGAGTAAATATATGAACAACACACCAATTAAAGAGCGTCACATCCGGTTGTAAACGTGCGAAGCTCGAGTGAGCCTAATGTTAGGCTCATTTGACCCTTATTTTTTTTTTTCAAAAGACGCTCATATTCTGAATGACTTGTAAAAATTATGTTTGTGTTTGTTGTAGGATCTAAATTACCTCAAATCATTTAAGAAACAATACAATTTAACATTTTTTTTAAAATATAACTTAAAAATCAATTTTTTTTAAAATATAACTTAAAAATCAATAGAAACTATTATAGTAAAATTAAATTTTTAATTATTTACTTAATTTGAACTAAAAAGAGTCATACAAAATTGAATAAAAAAATATTTGTGGTCCGTTCATTTATAAATCGAGATAAAAATAAAAATTATTCACATGCAACTTAATTGTTTAACAAACGAATCGAACACGAACTATTTAACAAGACCATTTTGACAGCCACAGTGCCGTGTTTACGATAGGCACCTAATAATCGCTTAGCTCGAACATGTCCCAAATGGATAAAAACTCACCAGAGCTAAGACCAATCCTACATTATGTCAAAAGAAGAATTGAATAAAAATTATAAAGATCAAAATTTTGGTCAAGACCAACACAAAACTAATTGATGCACTTTGAGCTGAGTGCAATATAAATTTTAATTGTAGATATTGCACTAAGCTCAAAATATATTCATTTCAGATAAATAAAAAACTTCTGATCAAAAAACATAGAGAATCTGCAATTATTATTTCATCATTCGATCTTTCTAAACATTATGGCATAGAAGCCTTTGGATTACGGTTAGTTTGTTGTTAGCTTTATGATCCTTGCGAGACAATTATCCCTAGGCCTTGGATGAGGCAAATATCTCACAGGACAGTCTGGATTGACCCGTTCAAGTCTGCACGCCAAAAATTACAGTTTGTGAGCTAATTATAAAAGTGAGTCATTTATAATCAGCTGATTTCTTAGCAGAATATAGAGATTGGGAAAATTGTTAGAATGCCCCCTGAGTTTTTGCCGGGGGTTATTTAGGTTCCCGAAAGTTTATAGAAGTGTCAAATTAGTCTCGAACTTCTTAATAGGGGTTGAAGTAGTCCTTAGGGACTGTTTTAGACCCTGTTAAGAAAATCTGAGGACTAATTTGACATTTTTATACTCTTGGGATTAGAATGGTCCCATGAAAATATTCGTTGGACTAATTTGGGACTTCACTCTTTAGAGAACTGAGCCAAAATAGCTGAACTATTCTTGAGAGATTGGAGTTACCATTTATGCTGCAAGATTTGTATGCATGAGTTATTATAAAGATTTTTTATTTTGAAAAAGTTGGATGGTAACTTTCTTGCAGTTGCTACATTTACGCAAATCTGATTCTCAAAAGTAATTTCTCACTATAGAAATTTTTAAAAACCAACAAGAAAATAGCAGCCAAATGAATATACGGTAGAATTTCTAACGCAGCAAGAAAGTTGCCCCAAACAGACTCATAATTTTCATATTGAAACAAAAATTGCAAGATTATCATCAATGTTGAGCTTCTCAAACATTAAAACACTATAATTGCTAAAAAAAATTTTATTAATTGTTTCTCATTTCGATAGAACAAAGTGAATAGATAAATATTTTCCCAATATGTGAATGATGGTATCCTATTTCTTTTTCTACAGTTCCTTTTACTTCAAAAACTAGCATTGCTCATTTGATGCAAGGAACAATAACATTTACCTAGATTTGAATAAAATAAAATAAAAAAGCTTTATATTTTAATGCATCAAGCTTGATGGTGTCATGGAAGGTATGCATGAAGGTCTATAAATTAGAAACCAAGAGAAAGCCTGACCTGTAACCCAAGAGAAAATAATGCAGGAAAACCGAGATCTCTAGCTTGGCAAGTTCATTTCCAGGACAAAGTCGGCTACCAGCTCCAAAGGGAAGAAAGGTCCCAGCTTTTGGTACAAGATCCTAGACAAGAAAAAATTAAATAAATTAGAGGGAAATTTACATACATACCACAGAATTCTTATGTATTTACATATCAAACACTAAAGTTTTATATTTACACTTATAACACCTTTGTGTCATGAACCCATGCATTAATATTTCACTATTAATGAAATATTGACATTGGTACTTTTGATGTGATGCTAAATATGCGAGTGGTATGCATGTAAATATGAATTTATAGGTGTTAGATATGTAATAGTGTGGTATCTTTATGAATTTATTACAAATACAATCAGAGGTAAACAAGATAGCATTAAACAAATAGCAAATATCTAAGTAGAAAGCTTTTACTCACATCCCATCTAGATGGATTGAACTTCTTAGGATCAGGATAAACTTCAGCATCCATGTGGACACTCCTATACCATGGTTGAACTGTCCACCCTTTTGGAATTAAGTATCCTAGAATGAGATAAAAAGCAAATTTACATTTTAATAATCACATATGTAACCTCAGATGAAAAAATAGCACAGAAACTACGAGCAAATTTTACCATTGATGTAAACGTTAGATGTTGCTTTTCGAAAAGACACGAAGGAGATGTTTACGAGCCTTAATGTCTCATCAATAAACTTCACGTAGCGAAAAATCATATCTTATCAGGATTTAAAGCATAAACCTATAAGAACGAATATATTTTCCCATAAAAGATAATGGGGATCACTTTTCCCTCACGAAAAAATTGATTTTACACAAACCTTCGAAAGATATTCCATTTTTTGGACATCCTTGAGTCTTAATCCCTTCTGTGTGGGTAGCAAATTTCGCCTAATTTCTTCCTGCTCGGCCTAAATATCAATGAACAAGATAGTAATTTCATTTAGCAATTTTATAATGGAAGATTTACATACATAACGCTCAATTTCTATGTATTTACATATCTAACATATAAACTTTGTTTTTTACACATTACCAATGCATGAACAATTATATTTTACCCTTTAAAATTTAAAATGGTGGCATTTTTTATGTGACATGAAAGATTTGGGCGATATGAAGGTAAAAAATAAAGTTTAGGTTTTAGATATGTAAATACATAAAAAGTTGGTAGTATTTCCCTTTTATAGCTTTCCAAAATACCTGAATAATTCTCAGATGTATTCCATACCTTAGCTTTTTCAAAACATTCCGGGTTTTCTTGTAGGAAGGTGGTGGCCCACATAATAATATGACCAGAAGATTCATGGCCAGCATTGAGGTACATGATCAATATGTCAATGATTTGCTCGTCATCTAATCTACGGCCATTTTCATCTTCAACTTTGATTAAGCCATCCATCATGTCGTTTACCTTCCGAGGTCCTCTGGACCTCAAAGCCCTTCTGCCATCCAGAGCGGCTTGGAGGACTTGCACCAATTTCTTTCTAGCCTACAATGTATAGGCAAATTGTCAATTGAAGGTAAACAAACCAATCGGGTTTAATTTATCTGGTAAATAAATAGAGCTTATAAAAATATATCAAAATTTTGTAAGGGCGTTTACATACATACCACCCAATTCCTAAGTATTTACATATTTATCATCTATACTTTACTTTTTTTCAATTATACCATCCAAATTTTGCATATCACATCAAAAATACCACTATGTTAACTTTTAAAAAGTGAGGTACATCTTTTCATGCATAGTTAAGAAGGCGCGTATGTAAAAATTGAATTTTACCTGCTAGATATGTAAATAAATAGGAATAAAGTGACTAGTAAGTATATCTTTTAATTTTGCGAAAAGAATCCATTGTGATTATCATCTACATGATATTTAAGTATGTACTACATATTAAGAATATTTAATTTGTATCAAATGACTACTTGTAAAACGGCTTTTGATACAAAATACAATACTTGTTTCTAAAGCTATGATTGCCAATGCATTAATAGAATATATAGACCTCGAGGTTTTCGCACTCTGTTAATTTTTCATTTGGTAAATCGTCTGCCATCCAATTTTGATCAATTTGTATTGAAAAACTGCACTTTTCATATCAATAAATCATTAAACTTGATTTTTATCAACAACCATGTATTGATAATGCCGTAAATATTTAGTTTTCCCCATCCTCCATCAATAAAACACAAGCATATAGCAGATAATTAACAAAAATTGACAAAAAAAAGAGCTTTGTGCCTTGTCAACTGCGCTTCATGGCTCATGGCTCATGACTCATAGAATTAACTATCAAAGAATATTTGAGCTTTAGCCATAACTGTGATAAAATTATATATTTAAGTTAATCGCCTTATGAGAGGGCAGGGGCAAATCCAGCTAGAGTGAGATTTCTTAGTATGATAATACAAAAATCTTTGATATAGCATTGAGACTTTGGCAGTTTTGGTCAAACTTAAATTTATTAGTCCCAGCAGACTAATGTGGATGATATAGAATGCTCTAAACATGAAGCAACCAAAACCACTTCCTGCTAGAACTCTTAAATTTGTAACCTTTTTTTTTCTTTACATATTGTAGGGCAATATATCTAAATGGAGCTCCCTTGGGATAAAATATTAGTTCGATTTATGTCCATCATTGATTAGAGTCCAAAACATAGTTTTTTTTAGAATTTAATAGATAATTTCATAATAGGACGCCCTCTACTTTAGCATATTCTGATAATTGAACCTACATCAAAGGCAAAACAACAATAATAAGCCTTTATCTCAATAAGTGGGGTCGGCTAATGTACAATCATCCTTACCAACTCTTATAATTAGTTGCAAAGCTTTAGGCTTATAAGGTTATTGGCTAATGAATTTTGTCTACTTTGTTTACTCACTCATAGAAAATTAAGTCCATACAAAATTATAAATACAAGACATTTGGATTCATTTAGACAATTTATTATGTTACATGCCTTGCTGACTGTATCCCCTAATGTAGAGGAACAGATTATATGAATTTATTAAAAAATAAACCATAGCAACTATAGCTCCATATATAGAGAAAAACCTATCACGATTGGCAAATGGATCTACACAAATAGGTAGGGTAGCTAATTTGTTTTATTTATAAAACTACTATTTTTGAAAATCATGAAAAGATGGACCCTTTGAACACAAGTCTTGGCACGTGAGGATAAGACCAAGCAATTGGGAGCTACGCCTTTGCCCTAATATAAGGTCTATAATGTAAATGCATTTCAAAATATCTTGGTAAGTCTGAAAGTCAAATATTTGATTTTAAGTTAACAATGTGATTTGCCTTCATTCGCTACAATTATGTTTGGTGTATACAAATTATTATATACCATGTGATACCGAAGTTAGCCCAAACCCAATATGAAAATCAAGTAGGATTATTTAAAACAAATAGGAGGTTATGACCAACACATTTGAAAAGAAAAACACAACAATATATACGCAAACAAACACAGCTAGAGTGTATCCCAAGAATGTTGGTGGTGGTCGGCGAGGGTAAGAAAGGTGGCGTGGGGATGATAAAGGCGGTTGACAAGAAGAAAATAGCAAGGCAGTTGTTTCCCCAGTACCAGGTTGCAAGCAAATACTAGGGAGTGATGATAGAGAGCTACCCGGGCTGATGGCAGGAATGATGGATGGTTGAATGGTGGTGACAACAAAGAGGAGGGTCGGGCATCAACGAAACCACCGGAAAGGGTGGTACCAAGCTGCGACAGCATGTGAGGAGGACGACGGCAGCGAAGCGACAGCATGGGAGGAGGATGATGGCGGCGAAGGAAAGGAGTTGTGGCAACGACAACAAGCTGGAATAAGGAAAACAGATTCCAGCAGAAAACAGACGAAAACAACTGTTCGGGTTGGCGGTAGTGAAAGAGAATGACGACAACAATGGTGGAGAATGTGCAGGACTGCAAAAAAACAAAGGGAGGGCTGTCCAGGGGCTGCGACAGCAAGGAGATGGTTTCTTCCACTTCTCTTGCTCGTCTGAATGTATCTGATAAACAAATATGTAAGGAGGAATCAACTTTGGGACGAAATTTATGGCAAGCCGGACCACTCAAGAGAGATCTTTCTCTGGTATGACCTATATCCTATTAAAGAATTTTCTTCCCGACCAAGCTCCAAAGGCAATTTCTAAAATTGCAGTTTATCCCTTCTATTTGACCATCTGTTTGTGGGTACAGTGGTACATTCCTAAATTGAATATAATACCCAAACAATTCCTTATAGTCTTCCCGAGGTGGCACAAAAAAGACTAATTTTTGACATGCAGAAGGGGCAACTCAGAAAGAAGTCTAGATATCTGAAAAGTCTAAATTTCTCTTATTTGAGGTTGTCATGTATCTGGTGTCAATTCCTAGAACTCATGATCATCACGGACAACTAATATCAGTCATATTGATGCTCCTCTAAACACATGCAAAAAAATTATTTGTGGCATCATGCATCATACTATGCATGAACACTCATCACCTTAGACTCACTATCTTCTAGAGCAACCTCGACAAATCCAATTGAATTCGCTCTTGTTGGATCATCTCGGATCACTAGCATTTCTACCTCGTCAGTTGACAGTTGACAAACCTCTCTAAAAACTTATCTTCTTCTAGATCAATATTTATGTCTTCAACTGCTCCCAGAAGAGTGAAAGAGATCATTCTCCGGATTGTACAATTTAATTCAATATGCCCAAATCCATGACACTTGAAATATTTTCTGGCTGGAACAAATTTAGGAATACCGGTTCACTCCACCTAGTCTCTACTCTGAATCAATTTCTCATCAAGCAGGGTCGGCTTGGATGCTCACCCGAGTGTACTCTGGCTGTAAGATCCTGGGGTTGAACCTTGCCTGAAAGATGTGTTGGTCGCCAGGTAATGTGGTCTCTCTACTTTTGAAGCTGGGGTATGAACATGCGGTCTATAATGAGCTAGTAGGTATTAACGTTGCATCTCCCATTTCATTTTCGCTTCCGATCTCGCTGTTGAAAAACTTCAAGTTCACCCACCACTAAAATGCACTATTCCTTAACTTGCCGACAGCTACTTTCACCATTTCATTTGGTGAGACATCTTGACACTCAAAACACATTCCAAGGTCCAGAGCTACAACATGACCATGATGACCTTGTTCGGATCCATGTGACCATCAAAATATGACAAATGCACTGTTACTTTAGTCCTGTCTTTTCAGATATTTAAGGTCAAAACTTCAGAGTAGAGATTCTTTATTCCTGAAATCCACATGGTGAAAGAGAGTCGCTTCATTCCTTCGATCTAGCAAGTCAATCTTGTGACTACGGGTGACCTATGTTGATAGTCTCATTTCCTCAATTTTATTGGTCACTGTAGCACTCAACGAAATTGTCATTGTATCTCTTACTTGATAAGCTCCTGATCGGTGTCTGACTATTGTCTCTTCAGTGGCATGATTAGGATTCGGGTTTGAGTAGGTGAAGGAGGTGTGTAGGGGTGATGTAGGGAGAGAAAGAAAAAAATTTGGGTGGGTTAGGTATGAATGGATGCTAGAAATCCTAGGATAAGACTAGGGTTAAGCTAACTCTAATACTAAATGATACCGGAGTTAACCCAAACCATAATAGAAAAATAAATATTATTACCAAAAGAAAAAAGGTGGTTATAATCAAAACAATTGAAAAGAAAAATATAACAATAAACACAACAAAAACAACAAGAGTATATCCTAAGAATGTTGGGAGTGGTCGGCGTAGGTTTGGAAGGTGTCGTTGGGGTGGAAATGACGGCTGACAAGCAGAAAACAACAAGGCGGTTGTTTTCCTAGCGTTGGACAACAAGCAAACAACATGGAATGATGTGGGGGTTGTCCGATGTGATGGCAATAAGGATGGAGAGCTGAAATGGTGACGAAAACAAAGAGTAGGCCTAGATAGCAGCGAAACGACAGGAAAGGACGGTACGGGGCTGCGACACACACACAAGAAAATAGCAACAACGAAGGGGAAAGTTGGAGCACTGGTAGTAAGCTGGAAAGAGGGAAACGACAGGCCGGACAATAGGAATAGTTAGGAACAGTGTTCAGGGTGGTGACAGCGAGCGGGAATGACGGCGATAGCTTTGAGGAATACATGGGAGACTGCAAGAGGGCTATTCTGGGGCTGCGATAATAAGAGGGATGGTTGGACAAAAAAGGGCGGCTGGAATGAGTGGCGGCAAGGTGGGAGTTGGCTGGAAAGAATGGCAACGGGTGGAGGTGGACGTTGGTTACTAGAGTTGCAGGAAGACAGCATGAATGTTGTCTGGCGGTTCTAGCAATAAGTCAAGGTGACAGCGAGAACGAAGAAACAGTTGCAAAGGATGGAAAATCAAGGATAAATGTCTCCACAGGATTGAATTATATCCAAAGTATTATTCAATCATTAAGAGACGGTCACCACTTCGGATGAGTTACAATCGGAGCACCTTCTCTCCTTCAGGT